TAATTTAATTTAATCAATTAAATTTAAGTTAATTAATTTAATTCAATTCAATTCAATTCAATAAAATTCGATTTCATTCAGTTCGAATTCGTTTTGCTTTGCTGCTGCTGCCTCTGAACTGGCAATTTTTAATTACTTTAAAAGCCTCCTGCAATGCCAGTTGAACAAACAAAAAAATCTGAAGAAATAATCTGTTTTAATTTAATTTAATTTTAATTTTTTATTTTTTTCTTTTTGCAAAACATCATCCTAAACCCTAAACCCTTCATTCTGGACTTGTGCCTTCGTGCAGTCCGTCGGGCTGGCTTGCATACCCGACGGCCAAAGCTTAAACCCTAAACCCTAAACCTTAAACCCTAAACCCTAACCCGCAAGCCCAAAACCCTAAACCCTAAACCCTAAACCCTAAACCCTAAACCCTGAACTCTAAACCCTAACCCGCAGGCCCAAAACGCTAAACCCTAAACCCTAAACCCTAAATTAGGGTTTAGGGGTGCTTCACCTCAGTCCTGAGCATGAGGATGTCTTTGAATTCTTTTGTCACATCCAACAACCTCGTTTTGAGAACTTCTGTGACAGTTATATAATGCTGCTTCGACTGTCCGCTGACTCCTGCTGCTGCTGCTGCTTTCTCCAAAGTGTCCACTTTGCAGTTCAAAGTGTTTATCGTCTGCGCCGCAAACCCCAAACCCCAAACCCTAAACCCTAAACCCTAAACTACAAACCCTAAACCCTAAACCCTGAACCCAAGATCCCCAACTGACGGCCCGGAGATTTGCCGCTTGAGAAAAGCGGCAGACAGCTGGGGCAGGCTCAGTAGGGAGCACAAAGACACAAACCCTAAACCCTAAACCCTAAACCCTAAACCCTCGTTTACCTTTCGGATCTCGAAAGTGAGTTCCTGTATCTGGGCAGTTTTGTCGTTGTAGATTCCGCACTGTCTCGCCACTGCGTAAAATAAAAGCATCAGAAAAAGCAAAAGATGAAGTAAAAAAAGTGGAACTTAAAAACAAAAGGACATTAAGTGCAGCCCCAAAGGCAAACAGCCGCTGGCGCTAAGGTGTACGTACACTTGGCCAGCTCCTGCAGCTTTAGCGAAGTCGCATGCAGACTGTTGCCCATATCACTTGCAATTAAGTTGAAGTTTTTATCTGCATCAGAGAAGGGCTGGCGAAGGTCTGCAGCAGGCGGGCTGGCGGCAAAGTTGAAGCTTTCCGCTGCAGCAGCAAACTCCGCAGTTCTGTCGTACGCCATTGTGGGCTGGCTGCTGCTGCTGCTGCTGCTGCTGCTGCTGCTGCTGCTGCTGCTGCTTCGCGTTCAGCTTCCTTGGAACTTTCGACTGCTGCTAGGGGGAAAGGCGCAGCTGCGGCGCTCTGGAGTTCATGTTTGGGAAAGAAGAACGAAAAGGCAAAAAGAAAGTAATAAAAGTTTCAATTTGGAGGAAAATAAATGCCAAAAGGCGGCGAAGTGTCATTTAAGTGGAAAGCTAGAGGAAAGCAGACGCAGCAGCAGGAGTTTCGGCGCTGCTGCTGTTCCGGAGGATGTTCTGCGGAAAAAAGAAAGAAATTGAGAACATCCTCCCGCTAAAATGCAAAAGAAATGCAACTGTCTTCTCAAATTAAATAAAGCAGTAGTGACATTTGCGACAGGAGCTTCGCCACCGCTGACGACGACGCAGCTCTTGAGGTGTACAGACAGCTCGCGGTCACGCGGTTAGAAAAAGGAAAGCTGCCGCTTCTTCACTTCAAAAATACTTTTCTGCAGATATTTGAATTCATATTTTTCGAATTAATTCTCTTTGTTCTCTCTTTCGACCTCAACAACGTCCACAGTCGAGCTGCATGCATGCAGTCAGCTTTCAGTCCCGCCGCCGCCGCTGCTGCTGCTGCTGCTGCTGCTGCTTTTTGTTTCCTTTCCCGCTTCAGCAACTTTACAACACCAAATAAAAAGAAGATAACTCTGCAATTTGCTTGGGACTGCAGCAGCAGCTTTTTTCTCCAACTAGCGCTTTCTGCTGCTGCTCTGTCTGTCGGCAGCTCGGCCTTCTTGCAAGACTCGAAGTGGAAATGCAAAAATAAAAAATAAATAATTCAAAAATATATTTCTTTCACTTTAAACACAAAACGAAATCTCACAGAAGAATAAAACGCCAACAGATTTCCTAAATGCTGCCTCGGCCGCTGCCGCTGCCCCCGGCATTCCCGCGGGTTGCTGCTGCTGCTGCTGCTGCTGCTGCTGAGCTTGGCCGCTTCCCTCGCCTCCTGTCTCCGCTGTCCTCAAGAGAACTTCATTTATTTCCACTTGTCTGTTTGGAGGGAAAAGCAAAAGGTGAATTGGAATAGAAATAAAAGGAAATTAAAAAGGGAATAGAAGCAGCACAAGCCCTCTCACTCCGCCGCTGCTAGAGTTTAGGGTTTAGGGTTTAGGGTTTGGCGTTTGTGCTGCTGTTCGTAGGCCTCTACCGGTCCCCCCGTGGAGCTCGCCGAGGGTTTGGGACAGCCCCAGACAGCTCAGCTGCTGCTGCTGCTGCTGCTGCTGTTTCTGCTGCTGCTGCGGCTCCTGCTGCTGCTGCAGCGGCTCCTGCTGTTGCCGCGGCAGCTCCTGCTGCTGCAGCAGCAGCAGCGGAAAAGGGCAAGCAGCCGATATCTGTTTCTCTTGCTGAGCGTCTGATGAAAATTGGCCGTTTTGGATTTGAAGAAGAAAAGAAAAAAAGTGAAGAGAGGAAATTGGGGGGAGCTGGTGGTGCAGGTTCGGGTGTACGTACACCGCAGGCTGCGGGGGCGGCGGAGGAAAAAAGCGAAAAATCCGAAAATGAAAATTTGAATTTTATTTTGAATGGAAATGAAAATAAAAACTTAAATGATGTTTGGAATGGCAGCAACGGGAAAGGGGAGTTTGGTTTTAAGTACAAAGGGCCGGAGCCCACGCAGTACGGCGACTGGGCACACAAGGGGAGAGTTTCGGATTTTTGAGAAACCAAGTTGATTTAATTTCTTTTTTTTCCAATTTTTGCTATTCCAAACTATTTAATGTTGCATTTAACATTATTCCAGTTTCTTTCAGCTTTTTAAATCACTAAATAATTCTTTTCGCCCGCACAATCTCGCCTGAGCCGCGCCGTGCCTTCGAGCTCAGGTGTACAGACAGCTCAAGCACTTACCCGGAAGAAGTCCTTCTTCCACTCGCAAGTTGTCCGACACAATACTTCCATTTACATCGCAGGGAGCAATGAAAGTCTGCAAACCATTTTTTAGGGTTTAGGGTTTAGGGTTTAGGATTTAGGGTTTGTTCACCTTTTGCGGCACAGGGCGCCTAGAAGGGTCGTGCTGCACTGTGATGAAACCTGTAGGGTTTCCTCTCATTTAGAGTTTGCTAGGGTTTGGGGAGCTTCCCGGGCCGCCTACCGTTTCTCTGTGCGCTCCTGTTGAGGGTTTAGGGTTTAGGGTTTACGGGTTTAGGCGCGAGGGTTTGGGCCGCAGGGCTGAAGTCTGAACTCACTCCGTCACTCCGTTGCAGTAAAACGCGGCCTGGAGAGAGGCGCAGCGGCACAAATTGAGTTGAAGGGAGGGTTTAGGGTTTAGGGTTTAGGGTTTAGGGTTTCACCATGGAGGCCACTGAAGGCCCGGGGGCCCCTTGGTTCAAGTTGAGGGTGAAGAGTTCAGTTCCGCTGTCTGCCCAGCTTGTAGATTGCACAGATGAGAACTTGAAAAATAAAAGCATTTTAATCCATTTAATTTAATTTAATTAAGTAAATTTAATTTAATTAATTTAATCTAATTAATTTAATTTGTTTATTTAATTTGGTGAAAACCAACAAAGAAAGGGCTTCGTCTATGGAGGAAACAATCCGCTGGTCAACGACGTTGGAGCAAATTGCCTGAGTCGAAAAAAGTGGAAATAAAAAGAAATTCAATTTTATTATTTGAGGTTTATTTAAATGTCATTTAATTATTTTATTTAATTTAAAATAAACAATAATTGCAATATATATATTAAAATAAAAGGAAAATTCAACTGAGTCCCAACGCGCCTGTTTGTTCAAGTCAAACTTCAAGGGAAACCTTTCTATTGTGGAAGGCTTGACTCCAATGGCCCATCTGCATTTATTGAATTTAAAAATAAAAGTAAAAACAGTGAAATAAAAATAATTAAAGTAATTACTTAAATTTATTTACTTTTAAAATAAAGAAAAGAAAAAAAAAGACTTACGAGGGGCTGGGCGAGGCTCTTGTGAATCTGCAATTTTGAAGTTTCAGTTTTCGCCGATCAGAAAACTTTTCAAATCAACTAATCTTTTGAACTTGAATTAATTTCAATTTGAATTAATTTAAATTTGAATTAATTTAAATTTAAATTAATTTAGATTTAAATTAATATATATTTAATTTAATTCAATAATCGAAAATAGGCCCTTGCGAATCCGCGCATTTGTACAGCTTTCCTCTTTATCTATTCTTTTGAATTTGAATCAATTTAAATGAATTTGAATTCAAATGAATTTGAACTTGAATGAATTTAAATTTAAATTAATTTAAATTTAAATTAATTTAATTCAACCATCAAAACGAACCCTTGAGAACCTGCGCATTTGTACAGCTTCTCTTTGCATCTAATATTTTGAATTTGAATCAACTTAAATGAATTTGAACTCAAATGTAAATGAATTCAAATTTAAATTAATTTAAATTTAAATTAATTCAATTCAATCATCAAAACAAACCCTTGAGAATCTGCGCATTTGTAGAGCTTTCCTTTTTCCTGGTTGAACATGAAATATGCACAAGACCGATCTTCTGCACAGGCCTGCGTTGCGTTTCCATGAAAAGAAGAAAACCGAGACGATCTGCGGACTTTTTTCACTTGTTCTGCAGTATTGAAGCTGCAAAAGATGAATTTTGCGAATAAAAAGAATTAAAAATCCAAAAAGAGGAAAATATTCCAAAAAATTCAAAAAAATTGCAAAAAAATACCTGATGATCCCGTGGGAAGCGCCCTCTACGATGGTCGGGTTCGGGCAGTCTGCAAGGGCACCTGAGCCCGAAAACACTTTTCTTGTTTTTCTTTTTCACTTTTATTTTTTATTTTCCTTTTTACCTTCTAAATGAAGAAAATTAAATAAAGACAAATCTTTTCTCGTGAAAAGGCGGTGGCGGCTCCTGTGCGTCATCACCTGCAAATTCAACTTCTCAATTCACCACCCTCTAATGTCACAAGTTGAATCTGACCAGATTGGCGGCAAAAGCGGCAAAAAACGCCAGCAAAAAAGGAAACATTTATATTTTTAAAAGTGGAAATCAATCGAAAAGTCCAGAACCTGAAAAGAAGCACATTTTTTATTTAATTCTGCGACTTTTTCTGCGGCGTGCGCGCAGATATTTGCGCAGACACCGCAGCAACGAATTTCAGCAGCCTTCAAAACTTTCCCATGTTTCTTCAATCATTGTTATTGTCACTATTATTACTGTTACTATTATTCTTATTATTATACTATTATTATTGTTTTTATTATTATTATTACTATTATTATTGTGCCTAGCCAGCTGGCTGCTCAGTTGGTAAACCCGCGCTTTCACTGCTTCTGGAAAGCTCTGCACTCGGTGCAACTTTTGTTCAAAATCCGAATTAAAGCGACGCAAACTCTCAAATTTTTCTCTTGTTGTGTCTTTTAAAAAGTAAAAGAACCTTCTGGGGTTGATTTATAAGCTGGATCTGCAGATTTTGTTCTTTTTTGTTGCACTTCGGAGAATAGGAATTGGAAAAGAAGACCGCTAACAGAGCTGTTGCCGGCTTATTTGAACGAGAAAGCGGCGATTTAAATTGCGCAAAGTTTATAAATGCATTATTGCATTTTAAAAAGGCAGTTGAGGTTTTTGAATGTTTTTGAAAATTCAAAAACCTGAGATCTGAACACCAGGTCTCGGTCGCGGTTTCGCTGAAACGTGCCACTGGAACATCTTCTTTTCGGGCTCGTAAGTCTTTAATTCTTCATTCTTTTTCGAATTTAAGTGCATTTATTCCTTTTTTTCCATTATTTCTCAATTTTCAGAAAACTGTTTCGCATTTAATTCAAATTTGCGGAAACTCGGACCGAATCGAAACATTCCCGCCGCCTGCCGACAGCGCGCAGCGGGTGCGGCACTTCGCGCGAAGTAAAAGATCCCTCAAACAAATAAATAAAATTCATTTTAAAACAATTAATCTGAAGTATTTTTGTTGAATAAAATATATTTTCGCCAAAAATTGAGCAGCAGCAGCAACCAGGGCCCCTGGGGGGCGGGCCCCTGCACCAGCAGCAGCAGCAGCAGCAGCAAGCGCATGCTATCTCCCACTTGTAATTAATAGATATCCCTGCCATTTTTTGCATTTTTCTTTTTATATTATTTTTTGTTTCAAATTTTACGCAAAGTCTCCACTCAAACAGCTGCAGCACGAAGAGCATGGCCGCTGCTGCAGCGGCTCACCGCTGCTTAGCAGCAAACCCCAGCCCCCCGATCTTCCCCTCTTCAGTGGTCCACTGGTCACGTCCCGCATTCTCTTCAGCCTCGAGTGGTCTCCAGCGTCCCCAGCAGGTCCATTCACCTCTCCGGGGGCCCCTCTGGGGCCCCGGGGGCCCGGGGGGCCCCGGGGGCCCCAAGGGGCCCCCGGGGACCTGAATGGACCTGTTGGGGACGCTGGAGACCACTTGAGGCTGAAGAGAATTCGGGACGTCACCGGTGGACCACTGAAGAGGGGAAAATCGGGGGGCTGGGGTTTGCTGCTAAGCAGCGGTAAGCCGCTGCAGCAGCCGCCATTCTCTTCGTGCTGCATCTTTTTGGGGGGAGACTTTGCGTAAAATTTGAAACCAAAAATTATATAAAAAGGGGT